TCAACTAAGAAAACCTTATTATAGTATGGCTTATACTTAATATGATAATAGGGATGATTTCAAATGATGATGCATCACAATTCCAATGTTACTAAAGTTTCAGTGTAGTAGTAGAAAGTGACAAAGTGATAAGAAAAATATTAATACATGATTACGCGGGAAAGGTTTTTTAGTTTGAATGACAGAACAAGAGCACTTTTGCTCATATAATATTTAATATGGAGTATATGTAGTATGAAGGTATGTTGAATATTACATAAATATATTTTCTTCAAAGATAATGTGTGTGTATTATATAATTGTAGTCTACAACTTAACAAACGAATCACTTGGGTGGGGGCATATGCCCCCAGTGAGCCTTCATTGGCTCCGTCCATGAACACAATACTATCACACGTAAAAGAAGAAAGAAGAAAGAAGAAAGAGGAGGATTGATTTCATGATCTAAGAGAGGGAATTGTTTAGAAGAAGGTAAAAAAGGAGGGATCAAAGCGTTGAGGTGATTGTATTGCCATAATTAATCCTACAATTAAGGGATTAGTTAAACTACAAATAATTTTATATTAAGAAATTATGTATACTTACTACAATTTATAAGCCTAAGGGGATTTATGTGGCATCTCAGTTATTAGATTTATTTTAATGAAGTGGACTAACCCTAAGAAAATTGGATCTATATCAAGTTCTCTTTATAAAAAAAGTGGTACGTTTATAAAGAAGAATGGGTACATTATGAATAAATTATGGGTACAAATAAAAAAAAAAAAAAAACTAGACTACAAATAAATCTTTTAAAGAAAAGGGCACAAAAAGAAATTAATATATGGGTACAAAGTAAAACTAAAAAGAAATTTAGTACAAATTTAAAAAAGGGTTGCAAATTAAAATAACTTTTTAGCCAAAATGGTTCATAAGATTTGCAAAACTTCTTACTTTGGTTCTTGAGATTTGAAATCCATAGAAGTGATATCTGAGATTGTCCATCGTCAATCATTTTGGTTATTGGGTGAAAAAAAATTAAAATAAGGATCAAAATGAAAAAATTACCCCCAATGTAATAAACAATAGGCCAAAATGATTTGACCAAAATTGAGGGTATTGTTGTCACTTTATCCTTACTTTATAGAGATTTTTCACAAAATGACCAAAATGATTGATTGTAGACAAACATAGGGACCAATTCTATTGATTTCAATCCTCATGGATCAAATTAAGGAGTTATGTAAATCTCATGGACCATTTTAACTAAAAATCCAATTAAAAATGGGTACAAACTAAAAATAAAAATATATGATACAAAGAATAGCCATAAATATAAATATACCAAATGTAACGTTTCTAACACTAAATTAATATATTTTAGAAATTTAATTTAATTAGGCTAGCATTGTCACATCCCGGCCCGGGGCGGATCACTTCCCGGGCCCGTTCCACCACCGTAGCACGATATTGTCCGCTTTGGGCTTACCATTCCCTCACGGTTTTGTTTTTGGGAACTCACGAGCAACTTCCCAGTGGGTCACCCATCATGGGATTGCTTTAGCCCCCTTCTCGCTTAACTTCGGAGTTCCTACGGAACCCGAAGCCAGTGAGCTCCCAAAAGGCCTCGTGCTAGGTAAGGATGAGAATATACATATAAGGATCACTTCCCTGGGCGATGTGGGATGTCACAATCCACCCCCCTTTGGGGCCCGACGTCCTCGTCGGCACACCACGGTCAGGGTTAGGCTCTGATACCAATTTGTCACATCCCGGCCCGGGGCGGATCACTTCCCGGGCCCGCTCCACCACCGTAGCACGATATTGTCCGCTTTGGGCTTACCATTCCCTCACGGTTTTGTTTTTGGGAACTCACGAGCAACTTCCCAGTGGGTCACCCATCATGGGATTGCTCTAGCCCCCTTCTCGCTTAACTTCGGAGTTCCTACGGAACCCGAAGCCAGTGAGCTCCTAAAAGGCCTCGTGCTAAGTAGGGATGAGAATATACATATAAGGATCACTTCCCTGGGCGATGTGGGATGTCACAAGCATGTAAATATTTTATTATTGAAATAATGACATTCATTAAAACCTAGGGACCTTGATAAAAAAAATTGCAAAGAAATAAGGTTTTAATCTGAATGGAAGAAAGAGGGATAAAAACCTAATTTCTCCTAAAATATATGTAGAAGATTAAAACAATGTTATTTTAAAAATTAATGAAGGTATGGCACGAAATTAAAATATTCATTAAAGGCTTCATTCTGCTTTTTATGAAAAAAAATTAAAAAAAAAACAACATGCAAGCTGCTTTTAAAAACAGGAGACTATTGCTTATAAAACGAGCAAGATGTTTTACTTTTAACAAAAACTCTTTTGCACTGCTTACGTTTGAAGTTAAACAGTTTTTGGTTAAAAAAAAAAAAAATTCTTAAATGAGAGCACATTACTTTGACAAACTAATGTGCTAAAACAGAGAGATAATTTTCATCTACAATTTTACACAATGCTAAAACAGAGAGATAATTTTAACGTTGCAAAAATGAATATTTTTCCCCTTGAAAGGACGGTTACACAAAGGAATAAGTGCAATACTTGAATAAAAATTTCCAACAAAGATAAAAGAAAATTCAAGAGACAGTTGATAATCATATGAATCATAATCTACAACAGAGTACTTTTGCTCATTACCAAAAATTAATACACTTAATCATTTGCTACGTGTTTGTTCACTTAATCTTAGTTATTATTTTTTAAATTAAAAAATTAAAATTTAATTTGGAAATTAACTAGAATTAGGTAAAAAAAAATATGTGGCAAATGATAAAGTGTATGATAAACATATACCATAATTATGGTTGTGAGCAAAAATATTCCCAAATACACAATTACCCGACCAAACAAAGAAAAAAAAAATCCAAAAACTAATAATATTTAATTCTTATTTAAATTAGCCTAGAACTTATCAATCTACTTGGTTTCTCACACTAATTTTTTTTAAGGTAATACTTAGGTACGTATTTTTTTAACGAACCATATTATCTATATAGATAAAGTTAGAGAAACAAAAAATTTTAAACCAAATAATGTGTCACCAATAAGAAACAAACACATTAATTGACACTTAATTAATAATTCAATCATTCACAACTACATCATTTGGTTTTTGCAAATTTGGTTTAAAAAATTTGGTCTCCCTAGTATTACCTTATCCACACTAAGGGTGGGAGTGTCTAAGCCTCACAATGAGCTAACAATAATGTGGTTCAAATTCGCTTTTAGCAACAATCAAACCTAAGACTTCTTACTTCCAAGTGAAGAGGAGTATTCTATATACTAACTTTCTAATTTGCTCCAATAATAAAAAAAAGATTTTTATCACAAATGATCCATGTGATTGACTAAAATCATCATTTTGGTCCTTCACTTTCAAAATCAATCAATGTTGTTCTTGACATTCACTACCACATATCAATTTGGTCATTCCGTTTAAATTCCGTCAATTATTCTGTTAGTTTGTATGCGGAATCCACAAATTCAATAAAATGGTGACACATGGATTGTACAAAAGAAGGGTTTTTATCCCAAATGATCCTTGACATTGATCAAACTCCTCATTTTGGTTCCTGAGTTTCAAAAATCAATAATTTTGGTCCCTGACTTTCACTATCGCACATCAATAGTCCTTCCATTAAAATTTTGTCAATATTTTTTGTTAGTGTGTTGATGTGGTCCTACTAGTCCAACATATGGCGCCAAGTGGATTAATTATAAGAAACTAATATTTTTTAGAGTGAACCAACTGGGCGAGTATTCTACGCTGACATTTCTCTTGCATCCCACAATCCCGATTGGAAAATAAGATTCAATCTAAATTCGATAAAATCAAATCCAAATTCAATTCAAATTTAATACGATTATAACCAACTAGAGAGAATGAGAAGTGAGTTCACGAAGGACAAGAGCTTTAGTCGTGTCATGGTGCATTTTTTTTCTTTTTGAGCATACCTAGATGAAGATGATGGTGTCTTTTCTTTCTTTCTTCTTTAAGTTTTAGTTTTTAATTTCTTATAGTACTTTTAGTTTTAAATCTTCAAAAAATAATTTTTTTTATAGTTAATTCATGTGACGCCATATGATTGGACTAGTGAGACCATATTATCACACTAACAAAAACTATTGACGAAATTTTAACGGAATGACTAAATTAATGTGCAGTAATGAATGTAAGGGACCAGATTTATTTTGATTTTTGAAACTCAGTGACCAAAATGAAGAGTTTGATCAATGTCATGGACTATTTGTGATAAAAACCTTCTGTTGTGTAATCCACGTGTCACCATTTTATTGGATTTGTGGGTCCCATGTGCAAACTAACAAAATAGTTAAGACGGAATCTAAACGAAAGGACCAAATTGATGTGTGGTTGTGAATGTTAGGGATGACATTGATTGATTTTGAAAGTGAGGGACCAAAATGATGAGTTTGGTCAATCTCAGGGACCATTGGTGATAAAAACCCATAAAAAAAATGGTCATGTGTTCTTTACTTTTTAAAGCTAAAAACAATTAATAAAGATAACTTAGTATTACATTATAATAGTATTCTTCTTCACTTGTGTGTGAGAGATTTTAAATTAGATTCTCGTTAAAGACAAATTTACATTATTGCTAGTCAATTATGATGCTAAGCTCATCATCTCTCTTTTAATGTAGATAAAATCGTTTGTTTAAAAAAAAAAACAATTAATAAAATGTTCTTTATTTTCAAACAATAAAGCATGTGTTGATTTATTATTTGACAAAATTAAAAAGTAATTACTCATCCGTGAACACTAAATTATTATTTTTTATTCAAAATTTGAATTTTTGGGATAATAGTTGAGTACTTCCTTAAAATAGTAATAAAAAAACCTGGATGCGTGGGACAACGTCGGAAGTAGGGCCATGATGAGGGTGTCTCATGGCTGTAATCAAGCAGATTATATAAATGGCTAATTCACAAACGAGGTCGCTGTTGACAATTAAACTTTGAAGTAGATCTGAAATCTACCACTCCCCTCCGTCCCCCTCAAAAATAGATTCCTATCATTCGAGAAAGACACGGAGAGGGAGGAGAGAGACTTTCCAACTCCCTACTTAACACTTCAAACCCTACTCAAAAACCAATTTTCTCACCCCATTCTTTCTTCTGGAGAAGGAAATCCCTCCCCGGAAAACCCAATGGGTTCCTATGAACTTACAAACGTACTCTTCTCGAAGATCAAAACTTTAGACCCAGAAAATGCTATCAAAATCATGGGTTATCTTCTCATTCAGGATTTCGCCGAGAAGGATTTGATTCGTTTGGCGTATGGTCCGGAGACCATTTTGCACTCGCTGATTCTGAGGGCTAAAATCCAGTTGGGACTTTTGGCAAACAGTTCGTCTGTATCGTCCACTCCTTCGTCTCCCTCACCGTTAAACCCCATAGCCAGACCAACCAACGGCAACCCATTTTCTCAGTCCTCTCCTAGAATACCAAACGGCTTTGACTTTGGAAAAAACCCTTCTTCGCCCTCTTCGAATTCCTGGCCGCTTTCTGGCTTTCCAAGCAACTCTGTTAGCCCAAAGGCAAGCCCTTTACTCTCTTATGATAATATCCGGGCCGGGTCCTTTTCCCTTCCAGTACATTCACACCAGTTCAGTAAGGATGGTGGTGGTGGTGGTGGTGATGTTTGGCCGGGAAGTGACCTCATTGAGGAGCACCAACTCAACGAGTACCTCTCCTTTCTCGACGAGTCCTCTTCCTCGTCGAGGCCGGAGGATTTCATTGATCCCAGGCTCGAATTGGGGCATGGGCTTCCTGATTGGGCTCATTCGGTTAACAGTGGCGACACCCATTTCCACAGAAGGAGCTATTCGGCCAGCGACGCGTGTCTCGGGTCTCTCGGGTCCGAGGACCCTGCTTTGGGAGTTGGGTTCAAGCCATGTCTTTACTTTGCTAGAGGGTTTTGCAAGAATGGAAGCAATTGCAAGTTTGTGCATGGCGGTTTTGCTGATTCCGATGGTTCTGGTGCCATTGTGGGGTCTCCCACTAATCTCGACGGTTTCGAACAGCACGAGGAGATGATGAGGTTGAAAGTCCAGCAACAGAGAGTAGCTGCTGCCTCTCAGTTTATGGCTGGAGCGTCCCCTTCTTCGTACAATAAGTGCATGAATTTCCTTTTGCAACAGCAGAATGATCCTCAGAGGTAATTTGGAAGTGGCCCATTTTTCTATTTTCTGTTGACTTGTTATTTATTTTGAGTATGTTGAAAACAGTCCATTTCGCTCTCTATAGATACATGTCTTTTGTGTGGAAGCGTTATTGATTGCAATTGCATTCTTGGTTTGAGTTCGTTATTTATTCTATGTGTTTTTGGTCTAACATTTTTGCCCGCATTGTAGAGTTGCGGCAATGATGATGGGGGAAGAACTTTACAAGTTTGGGCGGTGTCGGCCTGATAGAAATGAACTTTTAGCAATGGCTTCTGTGGAAAAGGCAAGCTCGGCTTCAAGACAGATCTACTTGACATTCCCAGCTGAGAGCACTTTCAGAGATGAAGATGTTTCTGAATACTTCAGGTAAAATTATATGCATCCTGTTAATTCCTTATTATTAATTCATTGGACCATGTCGTTGAACAACCTTCAGTACAAGTTGTTGCTATTGGCAGAATAAGAATTGGTTTCTTTTGATGTGATCATGTCCTAGCACTTTGGTCAACTATCATGGCAAACCATTTTACAGTCATGGGAATTTCTTACCATGCTAACGTTTTAGAATGTTGCTGGCCTTGGTGCCTTCGGTCTTTGTATTTTAACTTTTTAGTTCAGAAGCTGTTCAAGGTTTTCATTGCCGTCAAGGCCTCCAAGTGATCTTGTTTTTGACCGCCTGGTTCCTTAGGGGAGCTTTTACCTTGGATTTCAATTACAGGACATTCTGAATCAAGTGTAGGGATTTACTTAATGTACCACCTAATTCGGGGAAATCGTTTGAGTCATCTTGTCATATCGCTTAGCTGTGTCCAACTTTAAAATTTAAAATTTCCGAAGTTCATGAATGTCTTTGCTCCTCCACCATGGTCTTCTATTCTGTGCATTTCTTCTCGTGGCATGACAATCTATCTATTTTGATAAGTATGAGAATGCTAGGCACATTGGCCGTGTTTCACTTGAATACATTGTCTAGAGTCTAAATCAGTAAGGATTTACTGTACCCAACACTTGCATTAGAGGCTTGCAATGTATTCTTCAAATGTTACGAATACGATTAACCCATATCATGCTAATGCAGCATATAGATTGCCGTGGACTATTACTAAGGGATGTTTCTTTTAAGGGACGAAGTTAAATAGACTGAAGCAGTTCAATTGGTCCGTGAACATAAATCCACTGTTGTCCACATTTGACTAAAACAGATTTATCTGATCAAGCATACTTTTGTCTTTGTATGGCTCTCACCTTTTGTTTTTGCAATGGCAATGACAGATCATTGTTTGTAAATCTGTCAAATAACTTTGCTAACCTGTTATTGCTTGGTATATCATGGTACAACTTAGTCCAAGAAATTTTTCTGGAAAATAAGAAATACAAGTTCTTGACACGGAAAGAGAGAGAATATGGAGTGATAAAGATTAAGCCTAAAAAGTTAAATCATGTGAACTCAATGACCTTGGAGGTCGGAGGTTCCATTCATGATTATTGGAGATGTTCTGCGGGATGTTGTCACTGTGTCAATATCACAATGTAACACAAATTTTGAGGTCTTCTGGAATCTTGAGTGGTTGGTCAAATGTGTGTTGGACATCATGTTTGGATTTTACTTTAACAAATAGAAAGGATTTCTATGTATTATTACAATAGAAGAGATTTTCATATGATTGTTGTTATATTGTTCAAACGCTTAAAGTTCTGAAATTCTTGTGGAATTGTTCCTTGTCCTACATTTGCAGCAAGTTTGGGCCAGTGCAAGATGTAAGGATCCCATACCAGCAGAAGCGAATGTTTGGGTTCGTAACATTTGTCTACCCCGAAACTGTCAGGCTTATATTGTCCAAAGGAAACCCTCATTTTATATGTGATTCACGTGTGCTTGTGAAGCCCTACAAGGAGAAGGGAAAAATCCTGGATAAGTATGTGCATTATTCCTCTTCTACTTTCTAATCTTTAGGCTTGTTTTTTCACTTGCGTTGATGCCTCAACGGCTTATTTTCTGCAGGAGGCAACAGCAACAACAGCATTTAGAGAGGGGAGAATTTTCACCATGTTTGAGCCCAGGTGGTCTTGATTCCAGGGATCCCTATGATCTCCCACTGGGTTAGTAAAACAAGAACAGATTCCTTTTTTTTGTCACATAAACCCTATCGCAGAACGAGAGGGGATAACTAAATGTTGACAAATGGCTTATCGTTTTGCTGAATATGAAAGAAAGAATCCCTCTCTCTCTCTCTCTCTCTCTCTCTCATGCATATATGCTCGTCGTTATTAGACATTCCATTCAAATTCTCATTGATTGTTAAGTTCTATATGCTACCTGAATTTTTGTTTTCTATTAGGGGGAAGAATGTTCTACAATACACAGGAGATGTTATTGAGAAGAAAATTGGAGGAGCAGGTTGAACTGCAGCAAGCCATTGAGCTACAAGGTAGAAGACTCATGAGTCTGCAGCTCCCGGACTGGAAGAATGATCGCTTACCCCATCATCACCGCAGTTTATCTGTTGGTGCTCACGGTCCTCCTTTGAGCCCTTATTCTCATGCTCAGATCAATCAAAATATCCTTCCATTTGACAGCATTGAACAAGAAGTTGCAGAAGGTTTTCTCATTAACAGTTACCATTAATATGTAGTATTTATATGTTTAAAATTTAAGATGTATAAGCATTGTTGTTTGGACTTCTGGATTCCATGTCATTGCAGACCACAGTGATACTCCAGCTGCCTCAATCTCTGTGACTGGTGCAGTTGCTGAGCTGCAGCAGCAGCTTCAGATGGAAGATAATTTAGCTTTCACTCACAACAACGTCAATGGCAATGGAAATGGAAATGGCAAGGACAAGGAGCAAGGCCCGAACCTGGATGCCCCTAATCTTCATAAAAGGTAAGGAGCTTCGTTTTCGAATAAAGAAATGTTTAACATGGCTTAATTTATCTATTTGGTGATATAAGTTTTCTTCCATTGTAAAATATCAGGTTCTTCTGCATATTACCATTAATATATTTATCTTCAATTTTTTTGTTCTTGTGGTTGTGATGAGAGAGCAGTGTAGAGCAGGTCCTGCCTGATAGCCTCTTTGCTTCTCCTACAACCTCTGCTGGAGACCATCTCTCTGCCTTGTCAACTGCTGTACCCAAAGTTAATGATACTGCCTTTACTACTGAAAACAACACATCATCATCGTCGTCATCAGTCAATGCTGCTGGCTTCATTGCTTCTCATTAGTAATGCTGATTGACACTGCTACTGCTAGGGTAAGGACCATCCCCAATTAACTTTGTTCTCTGTAACATGACTTTGCTAGGGTTTGTAATTCTGCGAAATCAAACACTCTACGTTTTTTTTGCAGGAAAGTAGAGAAGCATATAAAAGGAAGAAAACTCATCTAGAAGATGTATAGCTGCTGAATTATACCTACATGAAAGACTAAGAGTAGATCCATAGAGAAGGAAGATCTCAACGAGGTCTCGCTTGCCACCACCCCCGATACATACTGCTAACCGAAAAGAAAATACATATTTCATAGGTAAGGAGAAATGAAATTACGAACGAGAGTAGGACTGATCGATCTCTTTTGCTACTTTGTCTACCCTCCCTTGTGTAGTCTAGACTCGAGAGCAGAACAAGAAGGATTGTAACTTGTATTTATACAGAATAACTTTTCTTTTATCTTACTATGTTTTCTGAGGTTAATTTTTCTTTAGATTTTGAGTTTTCTTTGCCAGAAAATTAAGGGTTAGTGCCAGTAGTAATGTAGCGGATGAGGGTTTGGGGATCACTTCATTGTGTTCGTTTATCGTACATCGAGCGGTTAAGTTTCGTTAGATGCTGCTTGTGTTCAGTTTTAAATAAAAAAACTCAAAATGATTTCTGCCTTCGGGATGTTAAATATAATAAAGTGATACTGATCCCGGGGATCTTCAAAAGAGGATCCGTATAGGGTCCTGGCATGCTATTTGTAAATAATACGTAGAAGGGGGATAGAATGGGAACTTCGTGTTTTATAAGGGGTCATATGATTGTTTTGTTGCTGTCTGATGCTTTGGTTGCAGCTGCAGCAGCATCGCGTTCACACTTCACATGATCCCCGAATCAAGGGGGTAGAAAGGGGATTTTGGTGAGGGTTTTTCCTTTCGGGTAGGCGTGCTTTCGTCACATATTGTTTGTTGGTTTTTTACACGTGGGGGCAACGAGCAAGTTGTCACGTGGGTGACGCTGACGTTTACATAGACATAAATGGGTAATTATATATCAGAGTTGTTTATCTCACTCCTTTCACTTTCATCCTCATTGGAAGTGTCTGCTCTCTCTCTCTCTCTCTCTCTCTCTCTCTCTCTCTCTCTCTCTCTCTCTCTCTCTCTCTCTCTCTGTGGCACATGCGCCTAGCCTTGTGTTGCGATTGTTTAAGGGGACTTTTTGCTTTTTTAAAAATTAATTTAGTAGTAAACAGTTGTCAAAGTTGTTTATTAAAGTGGTAAACACAGCAAATTGAATGTGGCATGGATTTTAATTGTACGGTGAATTAAAGTGGCATACAAACCACTTGTATATTTGTACCCCATTATAAAAAAAATAATGTAATCGAAATTTCTTAATAAAAATGTTACTCTTATCACTTATTTGTACCATTGTTTTTTCACCTATGTTTACTCTCACATGCGTTGGCAGACTCCACCTCTATTAGAGAGATGATACAAATGATGATACAAATAGATGAGAAGTGTAACATTACTAATATCTTCAAAACTTCAACCCAAGATAAAATCCTCTGGGACATAAATCATTCATTGATGTGACGTGACACATCCCGACCGAGATCAGGGCGTGCTGGCCGTCACACGAAGGTGACGTAGCCATGTGCGCGTGCGGAAGCTATGAAGATAGTAATATAAAAGTACGAATAATTAAAAACTAGCATACAAAGTACTAAAACAAGTGCTAGCGTATGTGAGACACAATTTCAGAGCAAGTCTACAGCAGTCAAAAAGGAAAGTTGCGACATAAATACACCCGAAGGTGACCCTACAATGGTGAGTGTCTGTCAGAAATGCCGGGACGCCCTCTGGGAAAAACCATCGAACTTGCTAGACCACTAGAACCTGGAGGGGCGCAAAAACAAAAGCGTGAGTGGGCAAAAACAAAGCTCTTTGAAAACTCTTTAGCAAAATACATTCTAACCCCTCGCCGTAAAACCTGTATACTTCCCAGAAAATGAACATATATACGTATGTATAGATATGCCAATCATGCTCCAAAATATGCCATTCATGCTCGAGAATATGCCACAACGGAATCTCATAATCAAATGTAAATGCTCAAGCGTAATTCACATCCATAACATATAATCTGGCAGCCGGGAGTCACCTAACGTGACCTGTACGGCTGCATATAGAGCTCCAATCTCAACTCAATAACTGAATCTGCACACGAGTCGGAACCACCTAACGTGGTCTGTACGACAAGACTGGGTGTATCATATATATACGCTCTAGTGCTACGATCACGTGAAGACTGTGCGAATAATCGCGGGTCACCTACGAGTCGGAACCACCTAATGTGGTCTGTACGACAAGCCTATGCACCTAACTTGGATCCAAGCTGAGCGTGTGGTGCGGGTGAACATCACGTGAAGGACTGTACCCTGGCCACGGGCGGGAGCACTAACACCGGGGGTGCAGATTATGAGCTCTCTAAGCATTTCAAACTACTACTGAATGTAAATATGAATAACCTTTACCTGGCACTTACCTGGGCATCCACAGCACCCAATACGCATATATAAATATATGCATATTTGAATATATAAATAACGTATATGCAACTGATCATGCATAACCACCAATTATATAAAAGGAGTGACATATAACAAATAAGCATTTATACTAAATTTCTGGGAATTAATATGTATATAGGTATATACGGAAAACCAAAAACCCACTCACTGATAAGTGGAAGGGTCGTAGCCCCCCTGCCTCGAGTGTGTACGCTCGTCCTCGGAATACGAATCACCTATACGCGAAAAAGCTACGAAAACGTTAATTTAAAAGCACATAACCAACTTCTCGTAATAACTTCTCATACATTGCTCAAATTGGACAAATGAATATACCAACGTGCTCTACACAACCTCAGGATCACACCCATATTTTTAAAATAATTTTTGGACCCCGCACGCGCCCCCACGCGCCTGAATAGGCACGGACCTACGCGCCCCCCACGCGAGGCCACGTGCCATGCACACTGACGGCGTCAACTGACGCCGTCAGGAATATTCCGTTAAACTGACGGAATATTCCGTTAAACTTAACTGACGCCGTCACTGCCGTTAGGAATATTCCGTTAAACTTAACTGAATATTCTCCTTTCTTCTCCGGCGAGACTCCGGCGCCGGCGACGGCGCCGGAAAACTGGGAAAATTTCAAACTTAGTTTTCTCCTTCGTTTTTCAACCATTTTTCACGATCTTTATACCAAAATGAAGCTTAGGACTAGTAGAATCACGATAGGCTAGTTTTAAGGCCTAAAAATCACACGATCATACCTGTCTTCAAGCTCAAAACTCGGCCAACTTTGAACCCAGCTTTCCCGACGTCCAAAATCGTCCAACGAAACACTCCGAGGCTCCTTGGGACCTCACTAAGACATCTACAAGCTTAGAAATTCCAAAAACACACTAGTTTAAGGTTTGCATGAATAGTAACTAAAACGGACCTCGTCGAAACGACGTGAAAACGTTAGAATTCTTACCTGGAATTGGTATGGTTGTGCTCCTCACAACCTCACGAGTTCAATGGTGTAATTGGTTTCTTGATTGGTGAAGGTTTGAGTATTTTTGTGTGTGTGTCCGTATGTTGAAGAAGGAAGAAGAAGAACTCGGGGAGAGAGAGAGAGAGAGAGAGACAGAGACAGAGAATAGACAAAGGGTGAGGGAATCCCGGGAGGGAAAGAGAGGGTATGAGTGTGTGTGGTCCTACAACACCACACAACACAACACTAATGTGATAAAAACGAACTAGGGGGTAAAATCGTAAATTCACACGTACGTTTCGTTAGTTTCGGGACGGGATGTTACATGACGTGTACTCAAAATTATTTAGAGAAATACATGGAACTTGGACCCTAAGTCACGAGAACGAGAATGGGTAAACATGGTCAAAAGGGGAACTTTGATATCAAATCCTACAAACTCAAAACAAAGAAAGAATCATGAATTTGAGAGAAATCAACGAACTATTTGATAATCATTTCATTTTTAGTTTTTAAACTTAGATATGAGGACAATATACAAGGTAAATGAGAGCTTAAGAAGAGCGATGGGAGAGAGGACAAGAAATAAGAAAGATGGACTGCAAACAAAATCTTAAAGTGAAAACAACTTAAAATAGTTTTTAGTTTTTAGTTTTCATTTTGTGTGTTTTTCCTTTACATTCTTCAACATATCTCTTACCATCCTTCATCCACTTTTCTGTTGGAAGTGTGCCCTAAAAGCCAATCATGAGATGATATTTTATAGACATTTCACATATCTTAAATGTTTCTGATTATAGGATTGTCAATTGAGTAATGACAATCTGATAAGACTAGTACATACTATGTCTCTCAGCTCATTTGTCTAAAAAAATATCAAGTATGTATGTGCTCAATGGAGAGTGTGTTCACTGAGCACAATTAAACATGAGTTCTCATACTTATGTTATATGAGAACTCACTAGTTGGAATAATGTAAAATAGTCATTTGACTTGAGACACCACAATTATGATGTGGAGATGTCTTTGGTCATTTGACAATGCGTCATAACCACATGGTTTGTTCCACACATTATTGGGGTCCTAGACTTATCATGGAGGCATATGAGTGTGCAACAGGGGATCGATATTTAACCTTCATCCTTAGAAAGAGAATACTTTGATATAATTCACGAGTCTCTGGTCTGAGCACATAGTTGTGATTAGGAAGTACATTCCAAATCACATTCACATGAATCATATAGATAAACTAGCAACCAAACAATGTGGTCAAGATTATTGTGTATTGCATTGTAATTCCTTTCGAACATGTTCTCTGACTCTTCTAGTTAGATTGGGTAGCCGTGACACATTATTAGGTGTGAATCATAGCTTGTGAAAGCCTTGAGGATTAACATCACTAGTCTTCATTAAAGAGAAAACAGAAAGGTAGTTTCAATGCACAATCACTTAGTAAGAGTTTTAATTTCCCACTACCTTGATAATTAGAACTTAAGATTGTTACCTATTGGAATATTTTGTGATTAAAATCTAACTTTGCATAGTAGACTAATCAGCTGAGCTAGTCAACTAGTTATAGGTTTGTTAGTGACATAAAGTACAGTTGCAAGAAATAAACTTAATTGATTAGTACGTCCCACTGGTCAAAGTCTACCTTGATCTATCTCACAACAAGAATTCACAAACAGTAGCTCATTCACTTATCAGTTCATTAAGCAAGCACCATGACAGTAAGCAGCATTAGCAACTACATATGCAGGTAAGTGAAGTCAAATTACACACATCAAGTTTTTGCTTGAAAAAACCCCTAACCAGGTTAAAAAACTTGCTACTCCAAGAAGTCCAGTCCACTAGTATAAAATAAAGGTTCGTACAAAGTTTAACACACAAGCTCAAGTTCCTAGAACTAATCTAAAGAACAGCTTGTACTTTTAGGCAACCTTCAAT